TTTGCTTTGCTTCCAGTTATTTTCCAGTTATTTTTTGGCGGCCTTAATTTGTTGCGGTCTGACTGTTTTGACTCTTGCCTTATTGAGTTTGGAAATATACCTTGCTATTGAACATCCAAATTTCTACCTCAAGTACGTTACAACAAAAACAGCCACAATCGCGACTATACTTTATTGGGTAGTCTGTCTAGCACTTTTGATCAGCACCAGCGTTTTTGCGCTCTTCAACAATCCTCGTCTATTCACAGTTCCAGCAATGGTCTTCGCAGGTATCAACACTCTGATCATTTTGTACTGTTCYATCAAAGTACAAATAACGGCTTATTGTCAACGTAGAACCATTTCCCTACAGCAGGAAGCAGTTCTACAGCCCAACGAACAGCAACAGCAAGAACAGCGACTCAAGGAATACAAGCGAGTGTTTACGATGAACATGTTAGTGCTAATCTCGGTTCTGTTTTACACTCCTATCATTATAGTGACAGTGATACAAGCTATCGAGGGCAGGGATGTCACCAGCGATTTTAAATATATCGCTATGCCTATCGGTATAACATTTGTTCATCTCCAGTCTCTCATCAACCCGATCCTCGTCTCACTGCGTCTATCGTACATTCGTAAGGCCATCAAAAATAAACTGATTTCTTTTTGGGATTTAAACTGATCGTTCAAGTCCAAGTCAAAAAGGCGCTGCTTTTAATATTTAGACATACTTTTCACGAATGGACAAACTTTAAATTCCTCCATATTGGTCAATACTTCGCATAAAATCTAAGATGTATTCCGGGCTAATAAGGTACGAAGGTAGATGTATTAAAGAACATGGTAAGGATAAAGTTTTTTTCGAAAAGGCTTTACAATGTATTGATACAAAAGCTTTGAATTTAAATTAATTTTTGGGAAGTTTTCAACCAGAGAAATGCCTGCTTTGAGCAGAAGTACATAACCCCATAACACCCCTAAAAGATCCCGGAAGTCTTGAACAAAGGGCGTGGCTGACTGATTTTTAACCCCTAAGAGATTGCATGACAAATATTTTTAAATTAAATCAGTTTCAAGGATAAAACGCAGAGGAAAATCAATATCGATGGGCTCTTTGTCTTCTTTTCCGAGATTGCAGAGAATGCAAATTGATYTATTTTTAAATGCTACTAGTGTCATCACTTGTCTTGATAGGTAGCAGTGGTTGTGATGGCTCGGGCGATGGTTTGCCATACAAATATGTTGCTAATAAAACACCAAAGGCTCCTACAAAGAATGAACTGCAACAAATCAAAGATAAATTAGTATCTGCATATTTTTTATCAATTCAGGATCGATTATTTTTTCGCATTCATGCAGTTTTCGCAGYTTTGTTTTCGCAGACCATATTGCTCTTGAACTTCCTTCGCTACATTGCTCATATAGTAAAGTATGTTTTCTATCGAATTCAAAAAT